TAAGAATCTTGATTGTGTTATGCTTGGACCACAACTCTAAATAATACACCATAACTAAAAACATTGTGTCTCTAAACAGCCAACTGGAGATGACTTTGCCATTTAAATTTCATAGACTGTTTTTTAAATATACAAGTGTATTTACCTAATCAAATCCTCTTCCAACTTGCAGAGCTGAAAAATCAATTCTTTTCCCTCAGAATTTCTCCTAAATCAAACTACAACATGGAAATAATCACTTCCAAAGGGCAAAATTTACATACGGAACAAATAATGAAAGAAAAAAAAGGAAAGAGAAAAGAAGAATTAATTCATGAGATTTTATGCATACTTCCTGGAGGAAATATCAAGCTGGTAAAAGGATTGTTTGTTTCCTAGGTTATTACCTCTCCCGACATCATCTTCTAGCCCCAGTGCTGAAGTAGTCACTAAAGGATCTGAAATTTTATAGTAAAACACTAAGGAATCATCAATTTGTTAGTAACTCAGAAATTCCTATGCAGAAATTTAGCTTAAGGACAAAAAATAAAGGAAAAGGGGTGACAGCTGATATCCGAGACAGCTCTATTCAAGTTTATGAATGATTTACTCTTAAGGGTGGCAGGACTTAATGCAAATGAACAGAGAGGAAACTGTCAGCTGCATTGTGGTTCAACCAATAGAAGCACAGCTCCATCTTGGCTGTGCACTAGACTGCATTACAAACAGACGATACCATCGCTTCAACAGCATCCTTTCAGACAAGAGGTAGGTTTCTATGATCTTTTTTATTTAGTGGTACATGTCCTTATGATGCAATAGGAAAATATTTTACCATGAAAAATCAGCCAGAAAGCTTTGTTCTTACTAAATACCAAAAAAAGCAACGTATTCATTTCATTGCTTGGTAGAATTTTATTATGAAAATATGAAGACTGCCTTGTGCTGTTTGATAAGCACCCTTACCATCTGTGCCTTAATGGAAAATTCATTACATTTTATATGAAGCTGATCTATATTCAGATCTTAGAGTAAACCGTAAGCATCTGAGATGTTAACTGGTTACTTGTTAATTTCATTTTCTCTGAACGATTCATGTTAGCAGTTTGATCTGTCTTAACAAAGGATTTTTCTTAAAGAAAAATCTAGACTAAAAGCAAATCCTGGACTAACGCTTTCTGATTATATGTGCAAATTATACTACTGACTGGTAAAAAGCAGTTACTTACAAGAAAGTTTGTTATATTTTAACAAATAAAATAGTTCAAAATTATTTTCTTTGACTTGGAGTATAAATGCAGAGAATGCCATGAAATCATCACAATTGTGATTTTTATATAAAAATAAAAAGACCATAAAAGGCATCATTATGTGGACTGCATTATACTATAACCCAAGAGATAATTTACAGAGTTTCAGATTTTCCTAGCATCTTAATTAAAATAATTCCTCACAGTTAAATTTATTTTACTGTAATATACAAGTTAGGCTATTATTAAATGAAAACCTTTTTAAACAGCCTTTCATTTTTGATAAGCCGTAAAATATATATATTTATCAAAGCATTTAAAGATAATGTTAAAGTTATTTACTGATCCTCAAAATAAATACGAATGAAGTCTTTTTGATAAACTATGTCTTCAAATGAAAATATATCCTAAGAAGATTGGTTAAGGGAGGAGGGTACAGTACCTTTCTGGGTAACAAGATTATTTTCATGGCTCAGAGCAATTGTTCATGTCTATCAGAAATCAGTATCAACTGTGGACCAAATTTCTAATTTTATAGTGTTCAAGCATGAAAATATCATTATTTAGTAGGTACCAGAGCTCCAGGATACTATACACACTGACCTAAAGGTCAGCCTCTGCCCTTTTACCTCACTGGTAAATTTATTTAATCTTTAAAGGTTTGGTTTTTTCCCCATAATTTCTATTCCTTCGATTTCTTAGTCAGCATTCAGCTAGCATGAGCAAAGTATCCCTTGCAAAACCCAAAGGTTGCTGTAACAAGATATTAGATCTTTCCAGGTTCAGCACAACAGGGTTAATTACCTAGAAATCATTCCTACTTGCTATATACAAAGTACTGGAGCTCCCCAAAAAAGTCTCAGATAATTTTGTCAAATAAAAGTTAACTTACAACTCAAATTTCAGGTAAATTGTAAACAGAAACCCCTACTACCCACAGTTTTAACACGCTATCGTCAGCCTACATTTTGCTTGTAATATATCCATGGTTAGCACACGTGAAGGCTTCACTGCTGTTTCACCAAACGGATTAAAGGCATGGCCTGTCTTGGAGAGTTTCAGAGCTTAAATTGAGTGAGTTCTCTATATTTAAAGGCTATTGTGATTAACTAATCATATTTCAAAGTCATATATGTTCAAAGGCACTAGAGAATTCAATGCAAAGGCTTTTTTCATAAATAGAGCAAAAGCATAATTTTATTCTGATCTGGCAATCCAAGGTTCCACAACAGTTCCAAGTCCTATCCCCATAAATATTCCACTGGGCCTTTTGAAATGGGAGGGAATATATCAAAAATAGCATAAAACAAAA